TACTCTCTTTAGGAATCCTATGCATGTTCAAAGTTGTAAACCCTAAGGTTTTAAGGTCTTCATGAAAAACTCTCTTTTTCTTCTTGCTCTTCTTTTTCTGCATCCTCTTCTGCCTTTTAGTCTTCCTAAAAACCTTAATTAAGTTTCTTGAATATGTTTTCTGTAACAGTTTATAATAATATTTTATTTTTTGTAACAAGCTCACATTATGTATCAAAGCATCCTTTGCATATGATATTTTCATTCTCACCAGGAATGCAATCTCTTGTACTACAGAAAATATTCTTAATTGCAGTCTATTTATCCCCCAGATTTCCAATGGATTCAACATCACTGAATTCAACTTGTTATTGAAATAACATTAAAATTTTTAGTTTAGTTAGTTGACGCTTTTACCGTTCACAATGGTCGTTTTGTTTTACTCATTGTATCTTCCAGGTTTAGGTCAATTTTACACTGATTTTAGCTATTTATTTACAAGAAAGTGGTCAGAATCAAAGATAGTGCTGAAATAAGTTCTGATATCTCTGATATCTGATTCATGTCTAGAATAAGTATGTGGTCAATCTGGTTCTGTATTTCTTCATCATGGGATCGCGAAGTAAGTTTGTGTATCTTCCATGGCAGAATAATTTATTGGATATTGTCATACCATTTGTGATAGAAAAGTAGATGAATTTCTGTCCATTTTCATTTGGGTCCTCATGTAGATTGTTCCTTCCGACTCTGAATTCAGACTCTTCACCTAAATTGGCATTTATGCCACTCATGATCTGCTTCGCACAAGTTCCATAAACTGCCTATAACAATTATTGTTTTTCTTCTTCATCCTTATGCGTGAGAGCATGTACATTCATCAAGCTATTATTAAAGGGTCCGCTTCTCATTCAAATCTTACAAATTTAGTAAGATCTTGCCACAAAATCAATTATCTGATGTCTGATTCTCTCATAAATTACTAATCCCATACCAAAAACTTGTTTCCTGTAATCAGAGCTGTAATATACTGAATGTTTCTTTCTTTCAATTATTCCCTTACCAAGCCATCTCATCTCATAAATGACAAGTGTGTCAGGGTTCAATAATAGTAGCCTCTTATTACAATCAAAGTGCAAATATTTGAGTCCTTTACTACAATTACAGTGTGATACTTTAACTGTAGTCCTGTACTACAATTAAAGTGTGATGCAAAGTGCGAACGTTCCATGCACTAACTCACATAATCCTTATTTTCAAGTCATTTCCTGTAAGAGAGCCCAAAATTTCCTTCTTTAGAAATTGCAGCAAGAATTTTTTTTTTTTTCCCCCGTAGAGAGATCGTCAGCCTCTTGCCTAACGTCCAACCTGGAGGACCAGGTCTCCAGTTACCCCTGAAAGAGGAGAATCCAATTGTATCCCCAAATACTGGATACCTTAGGAACCTCGGGAACATCTCCTCCTCGACTCCTTACAAGTGAGAGGCCCCTGAGAAGAGTTACAAATATAGTAAACTATATTTGAGCAGTTTGTTTGCAACATTGCATTTTTTAGGCCTTACCAGAAAGTCTTGAAGATCCTGGTATCTGGCCACTAGATACCATTATATCAACACCTCAGAAGTAATGGACATAGTTATTGCAAAACATGTGCTTCAAACCCCATACATTGAAGTTTTAGATGAACTCAATTCAGATCACCTACCTATAAAATTTACAGTACACAGATTCAAGCAAAATTAGCACCCCCCTGAAAAAAATTATTTATTGGGAAAAATTTTAAACTAATTTAGAAACTTTAAATCCTCGGCTCACTAATCCTCGGCTCTCTAATATAGCAGTGTACTAAATATCTCTAATATAGCAAATATATGCTTGAATCTGTGTACTGTAAATTTTATAGGTAGGTGATCTGAATTGAGTTCATCTAAAACTTCAAGGTATGGAGTTTGAAGCACATGTTTGAAAAGTAGGTTCACAAAGGAAATTCACAAAATGAATACTCGTATCAGAAATGTTATTAATAATGTCATAATATTAAAGACGCTTGATTTCCGCAGCACTTTGCTTATTTATATATACAAAAATAAAATAAAATAAATAATAAATATATAATATAATAATAAAAGAGCAGCAAAAACTTGAAGAATCTCCCATTCTTCAAGTTTTTGCTGCTCCTTCAGATAAAAGCAATCTAAATAGAAAAAACAGAGAAATTAATCAACTCTTGACAGATTATTGCTCCGACAAGTGAAATGATTTATTGAATAGCATAGAATGTACTTTCCAAATCCAAATCCAAAATCCCTCTGCAAACTAAATTTTCCCAGTATCGGACCATTAAATACTTCTGCAGATACTGTCTATGCAGAATACGATACGGCTGAAGTTATGGCGCAATCCTTAGAAAACGCCTTTCAACCAAACCCAAATTTCCATCCTGACAGAGAAAGAAGTGGAAGAATTCTTTGTTCAACTTCTGGAACACACTGTGATTAATCATGTTTCTCCCACCTCCCCATTAGAAGCACAAAAAACATCAAAAACTTGAATATTAAAAAAGAGCACAAGATTTTGATTACATCTCAAATAAAGGTATTGAAAAACTACCCTGAAGATGTATTGTTTTAGTCTTCTGTACCTTCTAAATGCATGCCTTAGACTTAATTACTGTCCACAGCTGTGGAAACATTCTGTTATCCTACCAACCTATCAACTGACTACCCTGCATGGGCAAAAATTTCGAAAGAGTGTTTCAAAAGCATCTTGTCAGCCATATTGAAAAACATATAACCTACTCGGCCCTGAGTAATATGGATTCCGAACAGGTCACAGTACTGTTCATGAGATTACAGAATCTATAGCTGAAGCCTTCCACAAAGGAAAGTACTTTTGCCGGATGCTTCTTAGATATGGAAAAGGCCTTTGACAAGAATTGGTATGCAGGTCTTCTTTATAGCTTCGCCAAGCAAAGCTTCTCATAAGTTTCATCAAACTTATTTCTTCTTACCTTAAAAACAGAACCTTTCAAGTTAAAATAGGAAATTCATTCTCATTATATGTTACCATTACAATTCTCATTATATGTTACCATTGCAATTCTCATTATATGTTACCATCGCCTTAGGGCAAAACCTCCAAGATTATTGGTGAAAGCTAGAATTAGTTATATGCCAGTTGTGCAATACAAAATCGAAGATCTAATCCAAGATGATTGCTTATGATTAGGAACATCATTGAGCTATCTTAATTATGATGCAGTGGCCAACGAAATGCAATGCCAAATATCACACGAACTTTAAGAATTATATTTTTTATAAATAATTTTTATTCCAGCTAAAATTGTAATATTTTAGTTTAGTTTAGTTTTTTTATTTTGTCCAAAGGGACTTTGTTTTCGTTTTGCGTTGAATCACTATAAATGTTCGTTTCAAATGTGTGCCACAATGATAGAGTTCTGCATATATTGAAGAAATAATAATAAAATCTGCATAATGTATGTATATTCTCGCATGTGATAAAACAACGGTATATAGAGCCATCGAATTTGAATGACGTATCCTACTGCGAATGGGCATGTGGAAGCCCAAATTTGAAATTTGAATATGTTTGTTATCAATTTCATATTTTGTAACCTTAACGAATTTTTTAGTAACAACTCAACGATTTGAAAGCGAGCAATGGCAACAATCTACGGGGGGGGGGACCTTTTTATCTCCAGCGCGCGGACTGTGTATCGGAAATTCTAAAGAAGGCTCATTTAAAAATTATGCAACATTGCTATTGAACTAAAATTTATGGTTTAAGTGCGAAGAACATGATATTTAATAATTAAAAGTAACACTCAAAACGTTATAAAAACGCCCCTTTGGACGTAATTTAAAATCTGAAACCTTTCTCTTTTTTTTTTCTTTCTTGTATATTCAGCATTTTGTAAACTATGTAAAAGGATGCCTACTGCCCTACCAGTTTTCTAGAATATACTCGATGTACAAAAATGTTGGGGATCACTGACTGGCCTACGGCATCTAACAGTCCAGCACTGGTCAGCCCTCAAAGTGTTTTCTTTCAGTACTGTCTAGCCATACTTTCTTTCAGGCGGAATTTATGCCCCTGTCGTTTGCTGCCAGATTAAGAGTTAAGCAATAGCAAATGTTAAAACGATAGTTCCAGAATGCCTTAGAATCAGGGGCGTAGCTAGAGGGGGGCAAGGGGAGACATCTGTCCTAGGGCGCAGCATCCAAGGGGCGCCAAATTGATATTACGAAATTTTAGAACGAAATGTTTTCCATCCTTGGCAAGCAGTAGGGGCGCGAAATCTTCAGTTGTCCCTGGGCGCTGAAAACCCTAGCCTATGACTCTGCGTAGAATTAATTCTAGTTAATAGATAGATAATTAATTCTGTGGCATTTTTTATTCAGATAATTTGTTGATAAACCAGATTTTTTGTGATGAGAGGCATTTATGATTTGAGGTTTCACTGCTCATATGAACAAAGTGCCAAAAAACATGTATTAAACATTTGTAAAAGAAAGATAAAATTGTAGTTCAATCTTTTTAAATAACTCAAAATACTTCAAATGAAAATAAAAAAGAAATATTTTACTGAAATTTATTCTCATCAACCCCTCTTTTTTTCCAATAAACATGTATGGGAATTTCCATATATAAACTTTGAAATCTCCTTATGCAAACCGACTTATGCGTAGATTAAAATTATTAATTTTACTTAACCTGGCTTTGTATTTTCATTTTATAAACCAAGATTTTTATTAGTATATCTGTATTTAACATAAACCATGTGTTGCTTTGCTTCATTTGAGTATAGAGCAAAAGAATTAAATTTTTAGATATTAAAATTTTAAAGTGAGAAGATTCGAACTAAACCTAATCACAATTTTCATTCATTAATTTGGAGTATAAACGGTAAGCCTTTATTAATTTTTTATTTTTTTTATTTGCTATTTTATTTTATTTATTTATTATTAGGTTATTTGACTTTATTTATTTGCTATATTTTTTTAGATAAGCCATTTTAAAATTCCTCGCTACATAATGTTTGTGAAGGATTTTCCAAAAACAACATCAGGAAAGATTAAAAAGTTTGAAATGAAGGAAATTTCTGTACAAAAGCTGAAATTGTCATGAAAGAATCTACTTTTTTGCATTTGAATTTGAATTTTCTGATGTCTAATTTCCATCAGTGTGCTACCTCTTTTTTTATGCTGTAATACTCAAAGATTTTATCCTGCAATTTACTGATATTTAAATATTTAATACCTCCTGATTATTTTAGCATATTTTATAATAAATATTTTATATCTAAGGCCTTATAAATTTAATCTATGGAGGTGCTGAATTTATAATTTATTTTAATATTTTGTATGACATAGTATTGATTAATGAAAAGCTACGTTTGTTTGATATATTTTATGACAATGTTGCATATTTTAGAAGGTAGAAGAATTAATATATTGTAAATAGTGTGAAATTATTATCTGTTAACTATTCATACATAAAATGCTATTTGTAATAACAATCTGCTATTTGTAAAATTATTGTAAAAGGTATTGAATATGCAAAACATGCCCTTAAAATGTTGTACATTAGTAATGACATCATGTAAAAAACAAATGATAACTGTGATTAATCAAATTACTCTAAAGTAAATCCACTTTAATTAAGTACAAAACACAGCCATAAAATCTGTTACAAATTGTGAAAGAAAATAATCCAGGGCTAGGGCAGCCTTGGTGTGGTCATTCATTTTCTATGTATGTAATATCCTGGGCTATGTAATTTCTCCCTTTAATGAATGAGTTGTCAGACTCCTTTGTATGAATTTTTAGGAATAATTCTACTGAAAAGAAGTTTTCCTCATCATCTTGTAAATAGTAGCACAAAGTTGAGTGAGTATGGTGGTTGAGATATTATTTTGTACCAAAGTTGTGTACAATAGTCGTAGTTTCTTTCTGTATTTGAGCAGGGCATTGTCAGGCAGTAAGCAAACACCTTTACTCATAATTCTGCAGCTCTTGGCTACTCTTTATAACTTCTGCAGTATATGTGTCTTAAATGGTGGGAATTGTTTTGATGTCCACTATAATAATGGTTCTCAACCTGCTTTATCCAATGTGCCCCTTTCACCATTGCTAGAAATTCATCCCCCCTCTTTCCCAAAACTTGAAAATTACATATACATTTATTTAGATTTAGATTTTTTATGTAAACAACAGCAAGTATTGAAAATATTGATAAATATCAAAACATGAGTAAAAATAGTTTTTTGTTATTCATAAATTAAAACCAAATACTTAACAGCTAAATAAAAGGGTGACTACATCCTCCTGAAACTATAAAATTTCCTCCGAGGGAGATTTCCTCCTAATTTGGAAATTTTTGGTACAAAAATTGAATAAGAGCATGTCCCTTGAATTTTCCTATGCCATGAGCCATCTTGGTTGCTCTTTGATGGCACACAAAAATCACAGCAACACCTTTGCACATGTGCATATTTCAAAGACGCAACAAAAACCTAGTGAAAACAGTTTGCTCTTGTGCTTGGTCTTTCACAGTTAATGTAAGAACTTTGACCTCTCTATATATTTCATACATGTAGTCCAGTAACCAACGTTTAATGAAACAGTAACACCCCAGAATCCGTGTCTTCAGAGAGCATTATACCGGAATTATTGCAGAATGCACAATTAAACGATGAGAGGAATGCTACTAAACGTGTCATTCAGGATCTTCAATATTTTTTCTCCCGCTCATCTTCTGACATGAGTCGAACTAGTTTGACACAGCATAGAATCGATACCGGCGGTTATCCACCAATTACGCAACATCCAAGACGTCTACTAGCGATGTCATCGAGCCTTCAGCAAGTCGACGGGCATCTTTATATGATATTTAGTATCTTTATATGATATGAAACGCTGTTCAGAAAAGCTATGCGTCATCAATCAAAACAAGTAGTAATCAGAAGGAGAAATATCTGGTGAATACAGCAGGAGGGGAAAAACTTCTCGTTTGAGTGTTTCTGAGTAGGTTTTGACCGGCGCCGCAACACGTGGATGAGCGTTATCATGCAGGAGAACAATTTTGTCATGTCTGGAGTAGTAGTGGACCCAATTTTTCTTTGAGTACTCAGCTCAATCTCGTCTATTGTGTTCGATAGAAAGCCCCAGTAATGGTTCCTTGAATTTGCGTTACTCTTAATGCATGACACCAAGCTGATCGCACCATATACTCAACATATTTTTTTTTTTTTTTTGTCAGTGAATATTCGGCTTGGCAGTTCATGATGGGACCCATGATTTCTTTTTCTTTGAATTATCGTAGTGAATCCATTTTTCATCACCAGTGACTATACGATGCAAAAGAAAATTTTGTTTATGCCTGGCAAGCAGCATTTTAAGTGTAAAAAAATCGGAGTTCAACGTTTCTCGGTTCATACGAAAACCAATTTCCTTGCTTTTGAATCACTCCCAATGATTTTAAACGATGTGAAATTACTTGTTGAGTTACTAAATGTAAGAGAAAGATCTATTTGCATTTGGCACCAATAATACTTCCAATAATTCATCCAATAATACTTCCAATTCTGCATCTTCATACACCTTCATCCTTCCGCTACGTACTTTGTGTTCGATGTAAAATTCACCATTCTTAAACTTTTGAAACCACTCACGAAAACTCCTCTCATTTAAGTCAGGCTCACCATATGATTTTATAAGCAATCGATGGGCCTCAGCTGCAGATTTCCTCAAATTAAAGTGCAGTGTTGTGTGGCCCCAACTTGTCAGCAACTATGGTAGTGACTGCTATGAACTGTAAATTACACAAACTCGTAAGAAGGGTTTAAATCCCTTTTTATTCCACCTTAGAATAACAGCTCCTATACTTGACGCTCACAAATACGCCGCCCCGGTGGTTACAAAACAGAACTGTGAACTAAAATTAATGAAGGATGAATAAAAACACACTACCTACGAGGTCGAAATCGTAACTAACTTACCGCGTTCAAAATACAGCTAAGATTCGCAAGCTTACTGATTAAGCAGTTAAAGATTCGACAACGCCGAGATAGGCACACAGGCCGAACGCGCGGTTCTTAATTCTACCTAGCACCTCACGTAGCGATTCAAGTATACAATACAACTCGTCTCCCTTCTATTTAACTCAACTTACTTCTGCTAAAATTTGAATATACTGTGTGTTCTCCTACAATTTACACTCTGGCATGACAATTTAGGGAAGTAAAGGTGACAGGAAAGATAGCTTTAAAATAAATTAACCCTACATTTGCCGCTGCCAAATTTGGTAAACTTGAAAGCAGGTCCTAGAAACGACCTGTTGAAAGTAACTATTCTCCGAAGACTCAGAGCTTCCGTTTACAAAAACAAACTGTACCTAAAAAATTACACTTGTTTCTGTAGATGGTTAGGATACCATATCTCTACAGGATCCTTTCGCGTTTGGTCTTCATCAATCAATCTTTTATCTTCTTCCAGCATCTGGAAGGAATAAGGATCAGATATCCTACATTTGATTACACTTTCGGAAACACGTAAAGTTTTTTCGATCCTTTCTTTCCTAATTAGCTGCTACATCACATTCATTCAATATCAAACATGAATTTAAACTTACTGGTTCCCACATCTTGTGGCGTCAACAAACACTTCTTCTAAATTCCCCCTCATTCATCTTTAGACAGGCAGGCTCGCTAAAGCTGATTTTATCTACTGTTTAATACTTAGATTTAACGCGTTTCTTGAGCATTAACTTAGCATCTAAAAGTATGTCTAACTAAATTCTACTTTACGTAACTTTCAGTATTACCTATATTTACAAATGCTAATATATGATTTTACAATTTACCATCAATGAATAAGAGAAAATAAAATTTACTTCACGCTTTCTTCGCCAACTGGCGGCACTGAAACTAAATTTCATTAACAAGAATACGAAGTTATTTACTTTCGGCCAAATTTTGGCTTTAACATAACAGAACTAGTCTTTCGACCAACTTCGAACTGCTTGCTTCTTAGATTTTACACTTAAAGAAATAAGCTTTGGCCTTAGCTAAATAAAGTAAAATAAACTAATCTCAACCGAGACAAATTGACTTCCGTCAAACATAGAACTTCGTATTTACGCATAAAATTTCAGAACAAAAGAAAAATTATAGTTTTTATATGAGTTTTCGATGCTTGGAACTCCGCATCCTTTCTGCAAAATGATCCCAGTTACAGAGTTAATGGTTAATCTCCCTTTCAGTTTCCTCAGGGCCGACGTTCTTTTTCGCCCTCTGTACGCGGCCTCTTGGTGGGGTTAGTCTCGGGTTCCGGTCTTTTCCGTTTGGCCCTGGACGGCTGGTCTTGGCGGCCTCCGGTCTGGATTCTTGCTTGAATTTTTTTTGCTGGTGCCAATCTTTTCTTTCCTCTTGCTGTCCTTTTCTTCTCGTGAACGGCGCCTTGTTTGCTCCTGACTATCTGGCCCTGGAAGTGGGTTCTTCGACGCAGATTTTTCTACTGTGGGAAGTTGTAACTGGTCTTTTCCTGTTTACCAAAGATTCTTTACGAGGCGGCGTTGATTTCCTGCATTTCTTGAATGCTGGAGTGTGACCATTTTTCCTTCCTTCTTTTCGGGACCCTAGAATGACTTGCAGTAGGGCTAGGTTCCTCTTCTGTTCTCTGCTTCTTGGGTGGTGGAGCGAGTGGCGTTAATTCTGGAATTTCTAGTTCTTTTGCGCTTGAGTCCTGCAAGAAACTTTTAAGGATTTCAAAATCATTTTGATTATAATATTTTTTCACCTGGTCGGGACTTGCTTTATAGGTTTCCCCTCTCGTTCTTAAGGTACAATACGACTCCCTTGATTTCCTGTATTACATAGGGGCCTTCAAACTTTGGAGCCAATTTTGCAGTGAAATTGTCTGGGGCACTTGACAAAGAAAATTTCCGCGTTAATACTTTATCCCCTACTTTAAAATCTGCTTCACGGCGTTTTCGATCATAGTAAAGTTCTGTCTATTTCTTGCCGTATCCGAACTTTTAACCGCCTGATCAATAAGTTTCTGTATATCTTTTTGTTTAAATTCTTCTTCCCTTTGTTGCACAAAGAATAATTTATCTAGTGGCGTAATTAACTTAAGTTCTAAAAATAATTCTGCTTGGGTTTTTCCAGTAGTATCATGATTTGCTATTCTTAAAGCATAAGCTAACTCATTTATGTAGCCATCCCAGCGCTTGTGATGTGTGCTAACATATCTTCGAATTATTTTTACAATATTTTTATTAACTCTTTCTGAGATGCTTGCCTGTGGTCTATACGGAACCATTTTGATATAGCGTATGCCAAGTCCAGTGCAAATGTTTTCAAATATTTGGCTAACGAATTGTTTACCGTTATCGCTAATGACTTTTATCGGTGCACCGTATTTTAAAATGTACCTGTGTAAGAATGCATCTGCAACTGTTGGGCTGACGCGCGTTTAAGTGCAGCAATTTCTGTCCACTTTGAAAAATGATCTACAATTACTAAAAGAAAACGATTTTTATTTAACTCACTCTGGGGAAAAGGACCAAGAAGATCTATGCCTAAAATTTCATTTGGAAATGTAGCGCGAATGCTATTTAAGTACCCGGCCGGGCTGTAATTAATATCA